GCAGGTAGAGCGTAGGCTCTGAGAGGAGGGCCAGCATTTACGCTTCGCAAACACGACGAGTGTTTTAACCTGACAGCCTGAGGTGTTCTTCAGTAAACTGGACTACCCGACAGAAGGACCCGAGGCCCCGCTGCACTTTTTCGGTAAGTTAGACGTGTTTGTAAGCTACTCCGTAACTACCGTCCTTAGCTCGGTCCTGAGATCTAGCTAGCTAAGACGAGGACTCTGCTGTCAGGGTTAGTTTAACTAACCCGTGCAGGTGAATGAATTTACCCTGACTAAAGAAATCAAGAGAAACGCTCCGGGCTACTCACTAATTACTGTTACTGTACTTTTATTACAAGTATTATACTGTAAAAGCAACATGCTGCACTCTGCTTTAGCTCCTGTGCAGAGCTGATTATTAAATATGTGCAAACAACAGCATGTTTTCAGTCTCTTGCCACGTCTATAAAGACAGTAACTTTTTTTTTTTTAAAAAAGCTTGTACCTTGTAGCTCCTCATTAATCAGGAACTATGGATTAAAGTACTGTAGTCTACTGTAATACTGAAAAAAAAATGTAAGAGAACAACTTCAGATCCTGAGTGTGTGAGGACAGAAGAATCAGCTTTATTTCAATTTTGAGGGATAAAATTTATGAGTTTGATGGTTCTGTTCTGTGATTACAGGAGCTGCCCTCAGATTCAGACCTCAGCACCACCCAGTGACAGCAGACAGATCAACATGTTCACATGTTAACTGCAAAATGAACTGATGAAAACAGTACAAAGGTTAACATACCACATGTGCTGCAGTGAAAGCTGCAGCTGTTTTATTGATAAAGTTAAACACAAAAAAACAAAAGGATTAATCATCCCTGTAACAGTGTCACTATATATCAGCATTAACTGGACCTCAGTTTGTATCTCAGACCTGCACAGCTTCCGTTTTAAACACTTGATGTACTCAGCTGCATGAAGAGCACGTTTGAGTTTCTCTAACACAATTAAATAAAACCTGATGAAAGTCAAAGGTCGTTACTTGTATGTTGAACTACAAACTTGTCATCTGGAATTCTTTCACAGTTTTTTTGCACATAGTGGGTTATTTACCATAAAGTGATGCAGAGTTATTCATACCAGAGTAACCAAAGAGGATCACATATTTTTAAATATATAACTTTCTACAGGACTGAATATAATATCTTTATGTGAAAGTCCGGAGCCTCTGGGGAGTATCCAAGTATCGTAATTGTCGGGCTACAAGCCGCTACTTTTTGCACAAGCTTTGAACCATGCGGCTTTTAGTCAGGTGCGGCTTTTCTATGGATTGTCCATGATTTTTGTCATATCGTAAGACGATTTGTTTTGTTTGTTCCGCTGTTGTACGGCACTACATTGCCTGGCGGAAGGGCATGTGATCAGACACACAGTATCGGGGTTCAAGAGTGGTATGTTGGTCACGTGTCCATCCGCCAGGCAACATAGTGCCGTACAAGTAGTGCGAAAAACAAACTTCAAATTAACGCTACGCGTTCAGCGGGAGTCGTGGATGACGAGCGGCAATAAACTTGCGAAAAGCAAGTTATGCCCAACTCCACCATTGGATTCTGACAGCGTGGAAAAGTGTGAAAACATCCACGATCACCAACGGATTTTGAAGGGCTGGACTGCTGCATTATGGAGAGGAGGACACCGCCACGGCCCTTCAGAGGGTGTTCGACTCTGACACTGACAACGAGGATTTCTTTGGTTTTGTAAGCGACAACGAATGAAAGAAGCTGAGAGTGGATGACGTAGCCATCCTGAGCCTGTTCGAATCAGACACTGGAGGAGAGGACTTTGGTGGTTTTAGTGCGTAGGAAGAAGAGAAAGATGGTGGTGAATGACTGACTTTTCTTCTTGTTAAAGCTGTGTCACTGCACCTGAGCCTAAAAGGTAGTCTGAATCTGTTTTTCTGGTGTGCTGTAGGTTATTTTTATGTACTACATTTGTTACTCATTTATGAAGCACAGTACATGTTTCGTACTTGTAATTACCGCTAAAAGTTATGCAAATATGTACCCATAACTTGTTTTTCAAAATATTAATAAAAGTGATGTCTCCAAACAGCCATCTCTTTCCTGACAATTCCCTTTGTGCATATTCTCTTACATATGATAAGTCAACATTGAAACACCTGCGGCTTTTGGTCAGGTGCGGCTAATGTATGTATGTATGTGTGTATATATATATATATATATATATATAAAAAAAACACCCAGCACGCCCCTGCGGGCGGTTTATCCTTCAAGCTCGGGTCCTCTACCAGAGGCCTGGGAGCTTGAGGGTCCTGCGCAGTATCTTAGCTGTTCCCAGGACTGCGCTCTTCTGGACAGAGATCTCCGATGTTATTCCCGGGATCTGCTGGAGCCACTCGCCTAGCTTGGGAGTCACCGCACCTAGTGCTCCGATTACCACAGGGACCACCATTACCTTCACCCTCCACATCCTCTCGAGCTCTTCTCTGAGCCCTTGGTATTTCTCCAGCTTCTCGTGTTCCTTCTTCCTGATATTGCTGTCATTCGGAACCGCTACATCGATCACTACGGCCGTCTTCTTCTGTTTGTCTACCACCACTATGTCCGGTTGGTTAGCCACCACCATTTTGTCCGTCTGTATCTGGAAGTCCCACAGGATCTTAGCTCGGTCATTCTCCACCACCCTTGGGGGCATCTCCCATTTTGACCTCGGGACTTCCAGGTTATACTCGGCACAGATGTTCCTGTACACCGCCACTTGGTTATGGCGTTCCATGTATGCCTTGCCTGCTAGCATCTTGCACCTTGCTGTTATGTGCTGGATTGTCTCTGGGGCATCTTTACACAGCCTGCACCTGGGGTCTTGCCTGGTGTGATAGACCCCAGCCTCTATGGATCTTGTACTCAGAGCTTGTTCTTGTGCTGCCATGATTAGTGCCTCTGTGCTGTCTTTCAGTCCAGCTTTGTCCAGCCACTGGTAGGATTTCTGGATATCAGCCACCTCCTCTATCTGCCGGTGGTACATACCGTGCAGGGCCCTGTCCTTCCATGATGGTTCCTCGTCTCCCTCCTCTTTCTTGGGTTTCTGCTGCCTGAGGTATTCACTGAGCACTCGGTCAGTTGGGGCCATCTTCCCAATGTATTCTTGGATGTTCGTTGTCTCATCCTGGACTGTGGTGCTGACACTCACCAGTCCCCGGCCCCCTTCCTTCCGCTTAGCGTACAGCCTCAGGGTGCTGGATTTGGGGTGAAACCCTCCATGCATGGTAAGGAGCTTTCTTGTCTTTATGTCAGTGGCTTCTATCTCCTCCTTTGGCCAGCCTATTACCCCAGCAGGGTACCTGATCACGGGCAGGGCGTACGTGTTGATGGCCCGGATCTTGTTCTTACCATTCAGCTGACTCCTCAGGACTTGCCTGACCCTCTGCAGGTACTTGGTGGTTGCAGCTTTTCTAGCGGCCTCTTCATGGTTCCCATTCGCCTGCGGGATCCCCAGGTACTTGTAACTGTCCTCTATGTCTGCAATGTTGCCTTCTGGTAGTTCAATCCCCTCAGTTCTGACTACCTTCCCTCTCTCTCTCTCTGTGTGTGTGTGTGTGTGTGTGTGTGTGTGTATATATATATATATATATATATATATATATATATATATATATATATATATATATAGTGTGTGTTGTGTGTTGAATCCTTAAATAACACAGACTATTAAGAGTAGCAGGTGTGTAGCATCGCTAACTAGCTAGCAACAAGCCTCCAACACAGTGCATATGCTAGCGGCTAATGTAGCAAACGAATTAACAACAGAGCAATTTTAGAACTATAAGATAAGCTGTGTGTTTTTTTTTTTTTTTTTATAACAGTGACATGGTTGTATTTACCTTAATTAAACGAGTCGTCAGTCGCAGTAAACCAGCAAAAAACTCGAACCACAGGTGCTACGTAAAAAGTGTAGGGGGGTGTGTGGGCGGGAGTGTTACACAGTCGCTCCACCTCAAGTCACTACTGCTCAGACTCTGGCTCCAAATTTGCAAGATGGCAGCCTCCACAAGCAGAATATTTTGGCTTCATTTTTGCACAATGGTAGGAGGCGGTGTCGCGTCGTCCATCTTTTATACAGTCATTGCTTGTAACTTGCAGGGTTTTTTTTGGCTAAATCCACACACAAATCTTTTTTACACATACAAATCCTCATTTACAAGTGCAAAACCGATTTACAAGTACAAAATATTTATGACCACATTTTGAGCCCATAGATTTGTGGCGTTTACCGTGTTTGGAGTGTGTAGTTAATGTGTTGTCTTGTGTAGTTGGTGTGTAGTGTTGTGCATCCAATCGTTCAGTCTGACGTCACTAGCCGTGTCTGGGCTTAAACTCCGCTGCAGGTCCATATATCAAATGATCACTGTGGCATTACTGAGAGTTAAAACACTATCTTAAGTCTTTCATCTTTAATAAAATTATCAGCGTTCTGCTCTACCAGGTGTAACAATTGAGTTTAACATCCAGGCATCCATGAAAATGGAATTTATGACATTTAAGAGCCGTACGTTTTAATTTGTTTCCAAAACCCCGCAGTCAGGACATGCTATATTGTATTTAGATAGAAGTTAGCGAGCTAACTCCCTGCTATCACTTCCAGCATAAATGAAGACAGAAAACTAAACAGCAGTGACATTTGTAGGGTTACGGAAGTTTGGCTAGCTGGTATATAATCAGAATCAGAATCAGAATACTTTATTGATCCCTGGGGGAAATTATTTTTTGTTACAGTGCTCCATTTTAAACCAACATTAAGACAAGACAGACAATACACTAACTAAGAATAGTACAATATATACATATACATACATACATACATACATACATACGTCACTCATAAATAAATAGTTGGAAAAGAAACATGTGTACACAGTAAATTTCCCAGTGTTAAATCAGCAGTGTTAAAGTGTATTTACTCTAATAGAGTCATTATAACAACAGCTGGAGCAAAACGCCCCCCAGTGTGGGTGATGATTCCTGGAGTTAAAAGAGACAGTGTCAACGTTACTCTAGAAAGCTCCTCCCACCACAGACTGGTTTTCAAACCAAGAGGATTTTTCACGACGCCATTTTCTTCACATCAGTTGCAGGGTAAGTTGTTCATATTTACTTTTTAAACCAACAATTCGACATTTTAAGCACAGGTAGCACGTTAAAATAAGGTTACATTCCTTTTGTCCATGTTTATTATATATTTCATTTTGTACCAGAAGCAAATGTGACACTATCTGTATGCTAATGTAAGGTTGTTAATTAGCTAAAAAAGTTGACTGATATCAGTGTTGGACTGTAAGGCTTGTTATCAAAATTTATTTCAGTGTGTAGTGGTGATTGTGTTGTGTTCTAGCATGTTCGAAATTCCATTAAATGAAACCCTCCATGTGTTGGGATCTATATATTAACATTAGCTAGCTAACTAGCATTTTGGCTAACCTCAGTGCGCGGGCAATTCGCTAGTTAGCGTTAAATTTTAAATTACCTAACTCAAGCATTAACTAATTAAAATTGTACACTAAATGTTACATCTTTCTTTTTTTCTTTTTTTTGATACCTAGGTACCAGATATAGAGGTCGTTTTTAGGAAGGTTATTGTCTTATTTTAACTCGGCTGTCTTCAGCGATTTTACAGTTACAGGATTACAACCAGCAGGTGTTATAAGCTTGATAAAATATCCAAAATGTCCAGGATTCAGTTTTTAATGCATTTTTTTAGTAGTTTGAATTTAAGATGACAGCGTTTGTATTTATTGTGAGTTGATGGTATTGACAAAAGTTACCCTGCTGCTTTTTCCATTTTGGTTACCAGACTGTTCAGTATGTTAAACTAAAGATGAACAAAATACTGGCTCCCTAGTGCTAAGTTAGGTCAGACAAATGGTAAAAAGTAGTAGTTATTATTTTAGTTTTGTATTGAGGATTATATCTTGACACCTTGTTACACTGACATAAAAGTAACATACAGTGTAAGAAATCACATTGCAAGGCTGTTTATGGGACTGTTTTAATATTCACATTTTCTGTTTACTGTAGTTCAATGAAGAGCACTGACTATAAGAAATTACTGTCTACAGGAAGCATGCTGCTTAAAGCAAAACTTGGAGGTGTGCAGAAATTTGTTAGAGTATCTGAGCCAAGCCTTAAGGAGTTTTTGATTGCCGGTAAGAAACCAACATTGTATTAAAAAGGTGTACAAGAGGCTTTAAGTTCTTTTTGTTATTTAGTCTCTTCAAACTGCATTTTATGATTAATTGAAAATGATCTGTGTTTTGGAAGCATCTTAGTTATGAATGTATATTTAGTGGGGGGAAAAACTGCATAATGTGAGTGTCACTCCTTTTAATCTACCACTTATCAAGCATGTTAGAGGCACTTAATAATTTAGGCTTTGTTTATCTGACTCATTTTTGAAAGAGTATCTTGAAATGATCTTCATTTTAAGCTACAAAACATTAAATGTCATGTCTTTTTGTTTACACAAACTTGTGTGCTTGTTTCCAGCATTTGCAAAGTTTGGTGCGCCAGCCGTAACAGAAGGAGTGAAAGTTTTTGATAGTTCAGGGACTGAGTTGGATGAGGATGTGTTTGAGAATATAGTAACAGATCCCTCAACCGGGGTACTAACCATCAAATATGAAACAGGTTTGTTTGAGTGATTTGTGTTTCATTGGATGTCTTTTTTTTTTTTTTTGGTGTCATTATTACATTGTTTAATCAAAGAGTGTATAAAATGAGTCTATGGAGGGACCATGTAAACTGATTTGTTTTGCTCCTATTTTTAAGGTCTGGAAACATCTGTTGCAGAAGTGTCTCCTGAGCAGTTCCAGTTATCATCGCCACATTCATCAGATTCACAGGATACGGTCATCCTTTCAGACAGCCCTTTGAGGAAACGTCAGAAGCTGGATGCAGAAGCTAAGCAAGTAAGAGTTAACAGATTTCCACATTCTTCTAATAGTGTCTTTTTTGTTTGTAGTTTAAGTGTTCTGAACTGTAGTGGTTATAATCAACATGTAGAATATTTTTATTGTGTTTTCCAGTTGGTGGAATCCATTCTCACAAGCAAACCTGGTGGAGAACGTATAATAAATGAGTACAATTGGACCAAGTCCCTGGTGGATGAAACCAGAAGAAAAATGGTCAACATACTGGTAGCTGACATGACAGAAAAAAATGGGTAATTTATTTCTGGCCCTGTGATTTTTTTACTATCATTTTCAAATTATTTTAAATCTCTATGAATTCCAGCGAAGCTGACTAGTCCTTTTCCTTTTGATCTTGCAGTACATCACCACCACGGCAGGTAAAAGAAATGTGTGCCAGAGGAATTGTAACCTTTTTCCCTTACCTCAGTGACCCGTACTCAAAAAATGGCTATGTAAGTAGCTAACAGCAATAACTGATACAACTAAAATCAAAATTTTAAATCCTGCCAAAATGTATGTCCTTATCAACTGTTCATGGTCACATAACTTACTGATAAATTAATAAACAAAATGTCTGTATATGTCACTCTCCAAGGAACATTATTATGATGGCGAGAGTGGCACTGGGTACTTGGCCTGGAGGATTAAAACCATACAGAGATGCACTGCTAAAGAGAGGCGATTAACATCTGGAGGTAACACTTATAATTCAGTGGAAACGTATAATACAGTTCCAAATTGTGGTTCTGTATTAATAATGGTTATCAAATGTTATTATTAGTTTTGATAAAGTTGTATTTCATATTGTCTAGCACCAGGAGATGGATCATTGGGTGAAGACCAGTGTGGTGGACCAACTGTCAGACGAGAGTTGCAGTTTGTTACAGAGAACGTGCTGAGTGAGGATGAGTGCAAGGAAGCAATCTCTCTGATGAAACATTCAGCTGATGAAGACACAGTCAAGAAGAAGATGAAGTTGACATTTGTTTATCGACACAACATGGTCCTTGACCCCCTGCTGTCAAGCAACATACTGTCTGTGTTTCCACGTTTCAAAGATATCAAAGGCTTGGTGAATATTTTTCATTACGTTGACAATGTAAACACATTTTATTTTTTGCAGATAGCAGATATAATTCTCTGTTCTCTATCCCTGTTACAGATCGAACAGGATTTTGTACTGATGTTTGGTGAGGATGTATCAGGCAGGTTGCTGGAGAGGTGGCCAACAACATTCAAAAGAAAGATTATCCAACAAGGCAGAAAGCTTCCTTCTACCAGTGACCTGGAAGAACTCTTGCTGGCAGCTGACTCTCCTGAGGATGCCACTGAAGTTAATGCTGACATTGGTGAGCTGTTATTTCTTTAATTAGAACATTCACAGGATATATAATGTTTGTCACAGAACAGCTGTCCTTTTGTATTTTGGGTCTACTCAAACATTTTGTCAATGCAGATGCATTGAAATTTGTTATTGATGAGGATGATTCAACTTTATTATAAAACAAATTTTTTTTTTTTCAGGCTGGGACAGTGACCTCTCAGCGATTCTATTGCTATTACATTTGATTCCACCATCTGGTCAGGGTCGGAAGAGACCAGGAAAGGTGTCAGCTTCTCAAGCAGAAAGGCATCTTGTGGTCTTCAAGAAGGTTTGTTTCTTTTCTATTTTTATGGTATGAATTACCAGTTTAAGAAACACTTGATTCTTATTGCCTGTCTGTATTTGTCTTTTCAGACTGGAACAAATATCCAAGAGCACCTTGATGCCATCACTACCAGCACTCAACCCTACCTCCTGGCTGTTGGGGTGAAAAAGCATGACATCCACCAGTTCTTCATTATTCTTGACAAGAATGCCATACCATGCAAGTCTACCTCTTCACTTGGTGCTTTTGATGAACTGTTTAAAGCACATTTTGTGTTTGGCACATCTTACAACACCATGCTTCACAACATGTACACATTCATCCAAACCACTGTGTACAATATAGATGTTGGCAAAATCAAAGAAAGTCCCAGAGTTGCTGAAATAAGGACAAGGTTGCTTCTTTAGGGCTTGAAGGTTAATTCTCCATCATGAAGTGTTTTGTCTGTCAGGCTGAGTTTACTGGTTCAAACATGCTTGTTAGGCATTTACGGTTAGTCCATGGTTACTTACCCGGAAGGAATCTTCGCCTTAAATGTGCCCAGCGTGACTGTGGCTGTGTGTTTGGCACTTTTTCAGGTTTTAGAAAACATTTAAATACCAAACACCTTAACTATTTCGACCAACAGGCTGACACTGATGTTAATTTACAGCCTGATGTGGCAATTAAAGAAGTTATCACTACAGGGCAGGTGGTGTCAACTAATGTAGAAGAAACACCCACAACATCTGAAATGTTGAAAAGTTCAAATAAGAGCACTTTGGATATGTGTGCCTCTACTGTTGCACAGCTCAGGGCAGCTGGATTAAGCCAATCTACTGTGAATAGTTTTGTCTCCTCAATGGAGGAAGTGTTTTTTGAGATTCATACTCAGGCTAAAGATGCAGCTTTACAGAGCTTACCTTCACAGGACACTTCAAGTAAAAAGAAATTAGAGCAGTCATTCAAAAACTTTGAAAACCCATTCACACTGTTAAATTCAGAAGCTAAATGAAATAGGCACTTTAAACAAAAATGGGCAACTGTTGAACCTGTTGAAATGGTGCTTGGCACAAGATTTGACAGTAGAAGAAACAAGATCACAGGGACTTTTGATCAAGTCATTGTAACCGATAGGTTTGCATATGTTCCTATTTTGGAAACACTGAAAACTATCTTTCAAAACCACCATGTTGTCGACATGTTCAAGTCGAGGAATATGTCCAGAGAAGGTGTGTATGCAGACTTAATCGATGCTGCCTATGTTAAAAGATGTCCCCTATTTTCTGCAGAAAAAGATGCCTTACAAATTCAACTGTTTTATGATGACTTTGAAACTGCAAATCCCCTGGGCTCTAAAAAGGGTGTACATAAATTAGGTGCAATATACTTTACACTAAGGAATTTTCCTCCAATCTTTAATTCGTTGTTGGTCAATATTCATTTGTGTGCTCTTTTTCCATGCACAAGACTCAAAGCGTTATGGCTTTAATTCAATCCTTGAGCCACTTGTCAATGATCTGAAAGTTCTTGAGACAGAGGGACTGAAACTTCCCATGTTTAAACACTTGGTTCATGGCATTGTAATCCAGGTCACTGGGAACAATCTTGGCTTGCATAGTCTGTTTGGGTTCGTGGAGTCATTTGCAGCTCGATATTGTTGTCGTTTTTGTCTGCTTGAGAAGGATTGTTTTCAAAGTGTGTTCTGTGAAGATGATTCTGGTGTTGCACTAAGAACTCTTGATATGCATAAGCAGCACTGTGAAAGTGTACAAAGAGATCCTACGCTACCTCATGTATGTGGTGTGAAACGCACTTGTCTCTTGAATTCACTTAAATATTTCAACACAGCCAACAATTTTTCTGTAGATATCATGCATGACATTTTGGAGGGAGTTGCTCAGTTAGAGGTGAAACTTGTGCTGCAGTACATTCAGGAGAACTTCCTAAGTGCTGAACAACTTGCTGGTAGAATACATGCCTTTGACTATGGCTTCAATCAGCAGCGAAATCGCCCACCAAGGGTAAAGTTCTTTGATGGCAGTAATGATTTAGGACTAAATGCAATTCAATCTTGGTGCTTATTGCGTAATGTACCTTTGATGTTTGGCGATTTGGTACAGGTGGGTGATAGCTACTGGCATCTTCTACTTCTGCTTCTACAAATTGTCAATATTGTGTTTTCACCAGTGCTGTCAGAAGGTATGACCATCTACCTCAAACATTTAATTATTGATCATCATCAGCTCTTTAAGCAGTTATTTCCTACACTCAGTCTCCTACCAAAGCATCACTTCATGATACATTACCCTCGCAGTATACGAAATATTGGCCCAATTCTGCACATGTGGTGCATGCGTTACGAAGCCAAACATAACTTCTTTAAGAAGCAATTAAAAAGCTTTAAAAACATTACAATGACATTGGCCAAGAAACACCAAAGTTGTATGGCCATGTATTGGGAGTCTTTTAGCCTCGAAAGATTAGCTTTAGGACCAGGAAAGATGGTGACACTTGGAGAGCTGAAAGAAGGTCCAGAAATTGCTTTAAAATTTGGAGCTGCGTTGTCTACCAGTGTTTTTTCAGCTAAGTGGATAAAACATCATGGTACAGAGTACCGCCCTGACTTTATCATCTGTACAGAGGTAGTGTCTGAGATTCCAGTGTTTTATAAGATCAAAAGTATTGTTGTGAAAGATGACATTGCATTGCTCTGTGGAAAACTGATGGAAAGCCTGTGTTTTGATGACCATTATCATGCATTTAAGGTCAGAATGCACCCCAATATGGTGCTGAAGGTGTTGAACATAAAAGAGCTGTGTTACTTCAAACCATTTGATCTTCAAATGAAGTATGGCACTTCTGATTCCTCCCTGTATGTGGTTCCATATTGTCATTTTATGCCGAACTAAATTCATTGTTTTAAAGTGTTTTATGACTGTTTTTGTATGTGTAGTGTTTTATGTACACTACATGAGATGTTTTAATATTTTGAGCCTGACATCAAAATAAAGCCGTTAAACGTATTATCTAGTTGTGGTTTTTGCTTACTTGTTTTATATTTTAAAGCATTATTAGAAACCAGGTTTTCATGCTGGAAGAGGAAGAGTTTTAGTAACACTACTTGGTGTAAAATTAATTTAAAATTTTACTCTATGAGAGCTAATTTTTCACAAGAAAAAGTGTATGAATAACACAGTATAGAGTAACATCAACTCTCATCAGAGTTATTTGAACCCCCAGTGTTAACTTGAAATAACTCAATTCAGTGTTAGAAATCAGTGGAATTTTACTCAAATAGAGTTAATTTATCACTATGTTAGAGTAAATAATATGACACTACTAGTAGTGTTAGGTTCATTTAACACTCTGCGGTGTTACTCAGTGTTAAATTTTTACTCTATTTAGAGTTAATTTTACTCTAAAATTTTAACACTATAGAAAGAGTTGATTTAACACCAATTCCGAATGGGACCAAATAGACTCGGGACCAGTGTTAAATTTAACTCTTTAAGTGTTATTTTAACACTCCGATTTTTACTGTGTAGTTGTAGCAGCAAACAGTGTGTTAAGTGGATGCGTTGTACAGGGAGATGGCCACAGGCAGGAATGATTTCCTGTGTCGTTCAGTGGTGCTTTTCGGTAATCTCAGTCTCTCACTGAACGTGCTCCTGTGACTGACCAGCATGTCATGGAGTGGGTGGGAGGTGTTATGATAATGATGTGCTACGTGACCGCTAGCGACACAACTATGTTAGCATAATATAAACAAGCTAACCTTTTTCCACTCGATAAAAGTTAACGTGAGTGTTCTGGGTGGTCAGGAACAAATGTAATCGCATGGCAGGATGCTGTAAAAGGACCAAACTTCAGCCAGGAGAACAACTGAGATAATCCATCCACAATACGAGGTTAGTCATTCATATACTGCTGCATGGGCTGTGCTGTAGTTACATCGTAAGGTTTTAAAAACTGAGCTTAAATAAATGATTAGCGGTAATAAAAGCCGAGGGAGGTCAACGGTGATCACCGACTTTTTTAGGAGCTTTTTGAGATTAAATAGAAGAAAATACAAAGCTTTAAACATGTTAACAACACAAAAGCCATATTAAATGCAGACTACTTTAGGCCCGCAAGTAGGATTCGTCACGTCATCACTTAACAATCGGATAGTTTTGTGTTGTGTGTCAGAACAATGAAGCGACTGCTGTCTCCAGGTAGAGAACAGGAGTGATACACCTGCTGCTGTCAGACCTGCAGGTATCAGGCTGTGATGTTCTCCTTTATAGTGGACAGAAAAAATTTTTTTTTTTGGAGTGGCACAAATAATTTGTGTGGCATCTTATTGAATGCAGCTGATTGTTATGTAAACAGTTTGAAATGCTTATTAAAAAGGGTAAAAGGTAAATGGATGCAAATAACATTGTTGTTTACAAAACTTGTGCATAGGATTTTAAAACTGACAATTTATATTTGCATTTAAAGGTATGAAATATGATTCCATAAACATGTTTGTGGTTGTTACAATAAAAAAAAAAATGTAACTTTTTCTACTCTGATTTTGTTTTTTGACTGATTTTAGATCAATTGTGTTAATACAGTATGTCAAAATGAAAACATAACTGTAAATTCAGACACCTGAGGTTGTGCTGAAAAGAATGATGCCAAACAAGGCAAAGAAAACATCTAAAGTAGTCAAAAATGGCCAATTATAACCTGGAGCCCACAGGGATAAAAAAAAAATTATATATTTTTTTAAAGTAATGCAATAGCTACTTCAAGTAATTAACTACTTTTAGAATCTTGTAACTCAGTTACTTCTTCAAAAAAAGTAACTAGTAACTATAATTACTTTTTCAAAGTAACTTGCCCAACACTGCACACAACATCTCTCTCGTTCACTTAAATAACTTTAAATGTGTGTTCCCCAATCGACTGGCACAGACAAATCAGTTGTGTTAAGTACCAGTATAAAACTGAGCATGAAAATGTAAATGTACCACCATGCAAACAAGACACTGCTATTGTGAGAAAGCATGCTGCAAGTCCCGTCAATGCAAAATGAAAGTAACATCACTGAAAGAGGGTTTTGTGACAAGAACATGTAAAAGTCAAACAGTTGTCTCATCTTAAGGACTATCAAGCATATACCAAAAGCAAAAGTAACAGGTCAGTGTGTGGAGTTCAGGCAACACAAACTAAGTCTTCTGTTTCACCTACTAGTACTGTAGCCCACTTTACAGACAAACATACCAAAACTTTATGTAACACTGATCAAGCGCTAATGAATTAATACAGGCTAGGTATTGAGTGAAATATTATGGTTATTATTAATCAGAACATTTAGGAATGCTACTGGAGCTGATGGGCAGTAATTAATAAATACACACAACACAAAAATGCTTTTGCAGGTACCATGTATTTAACCAAACCCCAAAGAAAAATAAGAAAAGAAAAGGAAAACTTAAATAATCACTCCTGCTGCAGCTATTCAATTAATCAAAAACCCAGTGGGGGTGCACAAAGACAACTAAGCAAATTCTTCTGGCTTATACCAAGCAATACAGATTCTCAAAAAAAAAACAAAAAAAAAAAACAACAGTTCCCCATAAATAACACATATTAACATCAAATCCACTGATCCAAACTGAAGTCCATGAGTTCTATCTGAATGTCCATGAGAGATGTCCAAGCGCTATTGTCCATAAATGAGGGGAATGGTGTGTATGATTGCGGAAATCAGTGTATTTGGAAAATGGGGACAGAGCGTCGTCTTTGATAGCTTCCTACCCAACCAGTGGAAGCTTCAATTGCAGAATGAGTCCTGCTCCTAGCCGTTCATTGGCTCGCCACCCTTTTTCATACCCCAAAAAAGGTTCACCTGGCCTGCATTAAATAAACAAGGCCAATAAGAAATCACAAGAATAATACAAAAATGTCAGCCAATTAAGCTAAATACATTAAGTTATTCTTGTTCCTGTTTACACAATTTATAAATAAATAAACAATATATTGGTTAAATATAATATATTTAACCAATAATTTAACTGAAACATTTCAACTGCTATATACATACATACATGATATGTAGCGTCACAACATTTTTTATTCAACAAATATTGGTCAAATCAAAATCAAAACCAAATTGTTTGGACAGGTGTTGTGCCAAAAACTGATTTCCGGTATTTGCCAAAAAGCGATTGCTCATATTTAAAGTGCTATAAGTAACTTGTTGGGCTATAATATGTTAAACATATGTCAAATGCATCCCTTATGGATGACATAAAGTCATCTTGAGCCACAAACAACATTCGTGTAACAAGATACAAGCCGCAATCAGTTTTTGGCAGCGACTTTTATATAACCTTTATTTATGCAGTAAAAAAAATCTCATTAACATTAAAAATGTATTTTGTAAGACTAAGTTGCCCAACAGGACAGCA